ACTTGAGTCACACCTCCTGCTGACTGATTAAAGACTCCTATCAGATGTGGCCCAACATGTAAGGCCACGCTGTGGACTGAATAATGTGTGAATTAACATATAAACAACAGATTTTGGATAATTTGAAGTTTACCAAAATTAATTGAAACTTTATTTTAGAATGGCTGTCTTACTTATTAAATAAACATTCTAATGAACATCTACAGGAATTATGTAAACAGTGCAATACCTTTGTTCCAGGAATCTCAACTACTTTATCCTGCTTGCAGTAATTAAAATAAAAATAATTAAGTAGCGAGCATACAGAAAATTAGCAAAACTATTTATTTTACAAACTGCAACTGTGCAAATATTAAAATTAATGTATTTCCAAAAAGCAAACCTTGCAAATCTTTTAAATTAAGCAAAGAAGAAAAATTTGAAGGAAGTAAATTAAGCGTTGGCCTATCACTAAGTGCTGGGAAATAATCAAAACCCAGATGTCAAAATCAATCTGATTTTACAAATAATGATCTAGTAATGTTTTTAGTCTGGAACAAACTGTCAAAGCAGTTCTACAAATCACAAATCCCTAATGACAATAATCTTCAGCACCTAATCTAAAGAAAAAAACCTTAAAAATGTTTCTAATTATATATTGGAGGCATGAGTTTATGAATACTCCAATACCATAGCTTTTAGCAACAATATGTAAAAGGGCATGAAAAGACCAGCTGATCTATCAAGCCTGTCCCATCCCACATAATGCAACCCTAGCTACCCATTCAGCCCTGCTCACTCTGTTATCCTTTCTGCAGCCACACAATCATCTGGAAGAGTTAGTCGAGGATTTCCCAAAGATGGGGGTCAGGACCTCAAGTGAAGTTGCAAACTAAAATTTTGGAGTCATGAGACCAGAGAAAGTAATGGCCAGGATGGAGCTCTAACCAAGGTACAACAACTGTGGGGCTAGAGGAACACTGCAGGTCAGGCAGCATCAGAGGAGCAGGAAAGTCAATGTTTCAGGTTTAAAACCCAATACGTTGACTTTCCTGCTCCTCTGATACTGCCTGATCTGCTGTGTTCCTCCAGCTCCACACTGTATTGACTTTGACTTCAGCATCTGCAGTTCTTGCTATCTCCACAGTACAACAACTAACAGGCTCTTGCTCTCACATCTCCCACTGAGGTGGGGTGGGGGAACAGTGACAACTTTCACACGTCAAAATGGGATCATAGTGGAAAAGGTTTGGGAATCACCGAGTTAGTCAAAAGACAACTTATGCCTATTTCAGGAAAAACGAAAATTTTTCCATGGTCCCAGCCCCCTCTTGTAAGCAAGAAAGCTGTAGAAAACCACAGTGGTTGATACCACTATCGTTGTCAATCTTGCTATCTTTACTAACTTAAGATGTGTTCTGTTCTCAGAAACATATTCATCTGCATATTGAATGGTATACATATCCTTTGATCTTTATGGATTCAATGCCAGCTAGCTGGACCAGTTCCCTGATTGGGGCTGTTAATCTGATCCAATCAGGGAGCCTGGTTGACATATAAAAAGGGTGAGTGTCAGGGAAAATGACACTCTGGCACCTGACTCTGAACGAGGCAGTGCTAAAGTCAAGGACTGTTCACTTGTAAATAAAGGATTCATGTGTAAATAAAGTGATGGGATATTGGCCTTTGTGGAGTTATTTCAGTTTCCTTGTGCAGGCATGAAACTACACGATACAGCACTAATGTTACTTACTGTTACTGATCCAATCTTACAAATTTCTTTTCTGCTCATCAGTGAACAACACAAACTTGGGCATGATGTGCCAGATGGATTCCTTTACATTATGACTATTGCTGCACTCTGTCCAACCACTGAACTTCTAAAAGTTTAATTGCTTCCTTCAAGGCATCAGCAGTGTTTAAATGGGCAGCACTCCCAAATCTGATTGAATAGGCTGTGAGTTAAGCACATAATTAACCTTACACTCCAGTGCAAAACTGAGGGAATATTAGTGGTGTTGTCTTTCAGATGAGACTTCAAACCAAAACCTTGCTTGCCCTCTCAAGTTAATCTAAAATATTCCATAATACCATTTAAAGAAAAACAGTGTTCACCTCAGTATGCTGGGCATAGCAGTAGGTGCATTCATGTCAGTTTCTGTGTAGAAACCCTCATCTTCCCCTACTCAACCCAACAGTGACACTTCAGTTATACTTCAATAAAACAGGTACCTGGTCTTTAATAGAATAAATCACTTCTTTCGTGTCAGTTCAGTGTTTGGCCAAGTATGGAGCAGAATATTTTCAGACAATGATCTCAAACCTTAGATTTAGGTCACGTTTATCAAGCAGTGGACAGCTCACTCTCCTTTAGGCTTTAGAGGTTTGAATAACCTAAAGCAAGCACCTCGAAGCACTGGAGAAGTACCATTGGCGGTGCCTTTGCAAGATCCTTCAAATCCAGTGTGAAGAAAGGCGTTTCACCAACGGCATTCTCTCCAAAACCAACACAGCCAGCAAGGATTAATCACTCAAAACCAGGTCCATTGGGCTTGTGAGGTTGCTTATATGTCTGACACCTGACTCTAGAAACAAGTGCTCTTTGCAAACCTCGGTTGTGGCAGAAGATGACTGGCGACAACAGAAATGCTTTAGGGAAGTTCTCAAAGCTTCTTTGAAGAGGTTAAACAGCAACCGATTCCATAATTGCAGTTCCAACCAATCAAAATGTAGAAGCTTCATAGATACATTAAGAGACTTCATCAGGAACTTAGATGCATAGTCGAAACATAAGACAAAGTCCACACATTTCCAAACAATTCATCTACCCAATCTTTCAGACACTGTTTGCCCCACCTGTCAGAGTCTGTAGATCACTCATTAGATTTATCAGAAGTCATTAAATCGGAGTGGAAACAAGTCATCCTTGATCCTAGCAGGGGGACCTACATATAAATGTAGTAAGTATAATAAGACTGTCAAGTTTGCTCCACAAAGATTGATCCATCCTGCTTGTATTTTCAAAGGAAGCTTAAAATGGTCTCAAGTTGTTCGCAAAAGTATTCCCAATTGCATAATTCCCAACTTGTAAACTACCTTCAATCTTTTTTCTCCAAACTTTTCCTGTCATTGAATTTGCAATACTTGACAATAAGTGAGGCCAGTGCTTCCCAAACTTTTTTCCCACTTCAATCCCAGAATGAAAGCAAGGGGAGTTGTTGACCCAAAATCTTCTTGAAGAGTGATGGAACTTCACAGCCTCAAGCAATACAACCCGACCATGAATCCCATCCAGCATAGCACATGTTCAAAGAATCTCTTCCATTGCAAGTATACCAATGGAAGTCCCCTTTTAGCCAATTAAAGCACTGAAATCGTGAACAAGTGGGGCACAGTGGCTCGCACTGCTGCCTTACAGCGCCAGAGACCCATGTTCAATTCCACCCTTGGGCAACTGTTTGTATGGAGTTTGCACATTCTCCCATGGTCTGTGTGGGTTTCCTCTGGGTGCTTTGGTTTCCTCCCACAGTCCAAAGATGTAAAGGTTAGGTGGTTTGGCCATGTTAAAATGCCCATAGTGCCCAGAATGTGCTGGCTAGGCGAATCAGCCACGGGAAATGCAGGGTTACAGGGACAGGGTAGGGGGCGGGTCTGGGTGAGATGCTCTTCGGAGGGTCGGTGTGGGCTCGATGGACCGAATGGCCTGTTTCCATGCTTTGGGGATTCTATGATTCTATGAACAATCAAACAGCAAAAAGCTGTCCCCTTGATAAACCTTCTGGAGAAAAAATATTCACAAAGGCATGGCCCCACTGCTGTTTGAGTTGAAACACATAATTTGGGAATCGCTGATCTTGTTCAAGTCTAATCCTGTACTCCTGAAATGACCAAGTAAATACATTTCCAAAAAATATTTCTGGATGGTAAGCTTGAATCCCTTCAGATTAACTGAGGCCTACTGTAGTGCCACTACTGCCTTTTGGGCAGGATCTATAATTCAGCACCGTTCAAGGATCAACCTGATCAGCTGATCACAAAAGCCATCAGAACAATCTATCTAATCTTTCTAACAAACATTGTTAGACTGATGTCGTTAAGCTGCCTTTCCAGTGGTGGCTTTTCTCCTTCTTGCTTCTACTTGGATCTCTATCCAAGATACTGCTCCTTTTACAAAGGATTTACAGATATCTTTTATATCTTGGTGGCTAGAGATAAAAAAATTCTGCTTTTGTGCTCAACTGAAATGGTCTGAAGCAATGATACATCACACAAAACATATGTATTAGCACACGCAAGGATAATGAGAAAATATCATAAGGTCCAAACCATCCAAGTAACATGCAATTTTACATGCCATTCACCTGTCCCTAATTAATTGCTGCCTGACAGTTACAAAATAATTGAGGAGAAAACCTGCAGCCAATTCAGGAGAAATATCTGGGAAATTGCAAACTCTCTACAAGCAAAGAAGCAAGATCCAGATAACCAACAGAACAAAATCAGAACCATTTCTGGGAAGAGACTTTCCTCCTATAACTGAAGGCATCCTCAATAATTGCATTTTCCAACTTTTAATTTTGAATTGAGACTTCTTGCAGATATGGTGCAGTCAGATGCTGAATAAATTGAACAGAAACCACCATGCTATTTATGTTTGCTCTGGTGTTGGAGCAAACACATGATTTTGCTTTGCTTTTGCCACTGGAATTTGGAATGCACTGGTGCCACTTATAGTACAAAACAGCCAGCTAGATAGAGTTTGTGAAGAGCAAGTCCATATAAAAATAGCAATAAAAATTTATTTTTTTGTTGTAAAATGATATATGTACATTATAGGCATGATTTCATCTTGAGAATATTGATAAATCATTTTGTGCCCGGTTCAACTCCCTAACTGAATTTTTTGGAAACACCATAAGATTTGCTTATAGGTAGAGCGAGCTCAAGTGCATATTCATCTACAGTAAATAGTTTGCAAGCACACAACAAATTCTCTCCCATGTTAAGCACAATTTACGTACCTCTTGGTCTACATCAATTTTGTTGTCTTTCTTCATCTCTGGAGGCTGCTTGTAGGGTTTTTCCTCTGCTGCAACTTTAGGCTACAGAAATAAAAAGCAGCACTAAAGTTATCACAACTACTGTAGCTGTATGCAAGCATCTTCTCAAGGAAAGCCATGGATGGACAATAAATATTAGCCTCACAAACAACACTCCCAAGAACATTTTTTTTAAAAAGAATAAAACATTTCAAACAAAAACAATAATCCATGGTATTACACAAATGACTAAATCTCAAAATGTGCAGTGTACAGTCAGACTAACTTCTGATGAGCAAAGCTATTCTGAACTTTTCATTTCTTTATTTTTCTAATTTATTCTTTTTATTTTGTACTTTTGTACATAAGATGGCATGAAGTCGGTAATGCTGAACATTCTATTTCTTTATTTTTCTGTATTTTTCCTAAAAATTTGTACTTCAGAATCTGTACCTCAGTACCTTTGTACCTAAGATGGCATCCATAGTGGTGGTGTGTGAACGTTTCACTGCACTTATGTGATTACAAGTGACGATAAAGCTAATTGTAATTCTAAGTCCTTCAGTCTACTTCTTCTCATTCTTGTAAGGTACCAACACTTACTTGAATACCTTCCTATTACAGTATCTCGCATTTTCTTGCATTAATCCATTTTTTCTGGCCTCAACCACATTTCCTGGCAAGGTGTTCCAGTTACTGTTACCTTATGTGAAAAAAATACTTAGTGATTTCTGCCTTAGGTTTACTCCAATGTTAGTTGTGGCTCAGTTAACTGTACATTTGCCTCCAAAACAGACTTTTCTGGATTTTCACCCAATTCTAGGACTTCAGCATCAAAATTCAAAATTAGCACTTCAGTTCAGCACTGAGACAGCATTGCATTGCTGGATATGCTATCTTTTGGATGAGAGCTTAAATCGAGACACCACATCTGCTTCAATTTGGATGGATTTAAAAGATCCCATCGCACTATTCTGAATAAGAGCAGACTTGATATCACCACTTCCCGGTTGACAATTATCCCTCAATCAAGAACACAACAAAACAGATCATTTGATAATTATATTGCTGATTGTGGAGGTTTGCTGAGTGCAAATTAGCTGCTATATTCCCTATATTACAACTGTGATTACAGTTCAAAAAGTACTTAAATGGCTATAAAGTGCTTTGAAAGGTTTGGAGTTGTGGAGAGCACTACAGAAATGCTTGTCTTTCTTTCTACATGCTTAAACCTGCAACTTATAATATCATTGTCTTGTCACATTTAAAATAATAATTCGGGTTCATTATTTACTATATTCCATTATATACATTTTCAAAAATTTGCTCATTGGATGTAGGTGTTGCTGGCTAGGCCAGGATTTTACTAAAGTAAAAGATTGCTGTCAGGTTAAAAAATGTTGCATTAAGAAGAAAATCATTGTGCAGGATACTCTAAAACCCCTTCAGGCTCAATGATGGATAGCTGATTTTTCATGCAATACCAAACAGGATAGAGTCAGGATTCCTGCTAGATTTTTCAAAGGGTGTTATAGATAATTTGCTGGACTGATTAAAGGCAATTGAAGTTTGCTGTGAGCAAGTAAATTTAAGAAGGTAGTGGTGACCTGCCTCCTTGAACTGCTGCGGTTGGTTCAATTGCAGAGGGGAGGGGTAAAAAGAGTGGCAGGGCAATAGTTATATGGGGCTCAACTGTAATGGGAATTTCTGTGGCCGCAAACAAGACTCCAGGACGGTATGTTGCTTCCCTGGTGCTAGGGTCAAGGATGTCTTGGAGTGGGTACAGGACATTCTGAAGGGGGAGGGTGAACAGCCAGTGGTCGTGGTACACATCGGTACAAATAACATACTTAAAAAAAGGGATGAGGTCCTAAAGGCAGAATATAAGGAGCTAGGAAGAAAGTTAAGAAATCAGACCTCAATGGTAGCGCCACGTGCTAGTCATAGGAGAAATGACAGGATACATCAGGTGAATACATGGCTGCAAAGATGGTGTCAAGGAGACGGTTTCTGATTCCTGGGCATTGGGACTGTTCTGGGGGAGTGGGACTTGTACAAATTGGAGAGGTTATACCTGGGCACGGCTGGAATTGATGACCTAGGGGAAGTGTTTGCTAGAGTATTTGGGGAGGATTTAAACTAATATGCCAGGGGGATGACAACCTATGTAAGGAACTAAAGAAGGCAGCAAGGGCAAAAACAAAAGCTAGAAAAGGGAGTAAGAAAAGTGATAGGCTGAGAAACCAAGTACAAGATTCAAACAGGGCTATTGAGAAAAATCAGGAGGAGACAAACATTGTTAAAAGGACAAGTTTAAAGGCTTTGTACCTTAATGCGCGGAGCATCTGCAATAAAGTGGATGAACTAATCATGCAGATACATGTAAATGGGTGTGATATAACTGGGATTACAGAGACATGGCTGCAAGGTGACCAGGGATGGGAACTGAATGTCCCAGAGTATTCAGTATTTAGGAAAGACAGGCAAAAAGGAAAATGTGGCAGAGCAGCATTGCTGGTTAAAGAAGAAATTAACACAATAGAAAGGATATTAACTCTGACAATGTGGATTCTATAATGGGTAGAGTTGAAAAATACCAACGGACAAAAACGTTAGTAGGTGTCATATATAGACCCCCAAACTGCAGTGGTGATGTCAAGAATGACAATAAAGAGAAAATTAGAGTTGCATGTGATAAGAGAATATCGGTGATCATGGATGATTTTAATCTGCACATAGATTGTGCAAATCAAATTAGCCACAATGCCATAGATGAAAAATTCCTGGAGTGTATACAGGATGGTTTTCTTGACCAATATGTGGAGGAACCAACTAGACAGCAGGCCATCTTAGACTGGGTACTGTGTAATTAGAAGGGAATCCTTGCTAATCTAGCTGTGCAAGACCCCTTGGGGAAGAGTGACCATAACATGATAGAATTTTTTAATCAAGGTAGAGAGTGAGGTTGTTGATTCGGAGACCAGGGTGCTGAACCTTAGTAAAGGAAACTACGAGGATATGAGGTGTGAGTTGGCCTTGATAGATAGGGGAGAGTTTCTTAAAGGGATGATAGTGGATAGGCAATGACAAACATTCAAGGAATGCATGGAGGAACTGCAACAACTGTTTATTCCTGTCTGTCATAACAGCAAAATGGGTAAGTGGGCCAATCCATGGCTTACAAAGGAAATAAGAGATAGTATCGGTCCAAGGAAGAAGTACACAGATTGGCCAAGAAAAATAATAAATCTGAAGATTAGGAGCAGTTTAGAATTCAGCAAAGAAGGACCAAGGGATTGATTAGGAAGGGGAAAATACAGTACGAAAGTAAGCTTGCAGGGAACATAAAGACTGACGCTAAGAGTTTCTATACATACGTGAAGAGAAAGATTGGTAAAGACAAATGTAGGTCTCATACAGACAGGAATGGGGGAACGTACAATAGAGGACAAAGAAATAGCTGAGGAACTGAATACATGCTTTGAGATAACACAGTGTGGAGTTGGAGGAACACAGCAGGCCAGGCAGCATCAAAGGAGTATCTGAAGAAGGGTCCCGACCTGAAACGTCAACCTTCAGTCATCATTTTTATAGTTGATGGAAGTTAAGAACCAGCACGTCGTAGATGTCACATTTAAAGTAATAAAATATCCCAAGGTGCATCACAGGAACACTTCAAAGCAAAACTCTACGCTGAGCCACATAAGAAAATATTAGGGCAATGGACAGAAACATGGTCAAAGAACTAGGTTTCGAGAAAGAAAGAAAGTGAGGTCTCCTACTGAAAGACATACAAGATCCTGAAAGGTCTTGATAGAGAAGATGTTGAAAGGATGCTTGTCCTTGTAGGAGAAACTAGAACTAGGGGGCACAATTTAAAAATATGGAGCTCTCTCATTTTAGACAGAGATGATGAGATTTTAGACTAATAACGGGTCAAAAGTTATCAGGTTGATACAGGTGAATGTGGAGTTGCTGGCACACCAAATTAGTTTTGATGTTATTGAACATTGGAGTAGGCTTGCAGAGCCAAATAGCCAACTAAAATATTCATAAAGGTGCAGAAGATTAAGGATGGTCTTTCAGAACATTGAGTTTTAGCAGCTGTGGTGCAACCGCTAATGGCTGGGCAATCAACATTGGAGCTGTTGAAAGAGTAGAGATCATAATTAAAGGAGCACGGAGATAGTGCAGAGCTGGACGCTGAAGCCTTTCTGAAGAAGGGTTCCGACCCGAAACGTCAACTTTCCTGCTCCTCTCATGCTGCCTGGCCTGCTATGTTCCTCCAGCTCCACACTATGTTATCTCTGACTCCAGCATCTGCAGATCTTGCTATCTCTGAATAAATACTTTGGTTTTATCTTCACAAAAGCGGAAACAAATCAGATAAAAGAATTGTTGGAGGATGCAAGATTTAGCAAGAGGGAAGAGCTGAGGGAGATCGATATTCATAATGAAATGGTGCTGGTAAAATTGTTGGGATTGAAGGCTGATAAATCCCCAGGGCTTGATAATCTACATCCCAGAGTACTTAAGGAAGTAGCTCTAGAAATACTGGATGCATTGGTGGTCATCTTCCAGGGTTCTACAGACTCTGGAACAGTCCCTGCAGATTGGAGGATGGCTAATGTCACTCCAATACTCAAAAAGCGAGGTAGAGAGAAAACAGGGAATTATACACCATGAGCCTAACATTGTTAGTGGGGAGAAATCAAATCCATTGTCAAGGATTTTATAGCAGAGCATTTAGAAAACAGAGGACCAAACAGAGTCAGCATGGATTTATGAAAGGAAAATCATGCTTGGCAAATCTAGTGGAATTCTATGAAGATGTAACTAGTAGAGTTGACAAGGGGGAGCCAGTTGATGTAGTATATTTGGACTTTCAGAAATCATTTGACAAAGTCCCACATTAGAGATTTATGTGCAAGATTAAAGTGCATGGGATTGGCGGGAGTGTATTACGATGGATAGGAAACTGGTTAGCAGAGAGGAAACAAACAGTAGGAATTAATGGGTCCTTTTCAAATTGGCAGGCAGTAACTCGTGAGGTGCCACAGAGATCGGTGCTGGGACCCCAGCTATTCGTAATATATATTAATGATTTGGATGAGGGAACAAAATGTAACATCTCCAAATTTGCAAATGATACCGAGTTGAGTGGGAGGGTGAACTGTGACGAGGATGCAGAGATCCTTCAGCATGATCGCGACAGGTTGGGTTAGTCGGCAAATCAATGGCAGATGCAGTACAATTTAGATAAATGTGAGGTTATTCACTTCAGAAGCAAAAACAAGGTGGCAGATTACTACCTGAATGGCTGTGTGCACCGGGACCCGAGTGTCCTTGTGCACCAATTGCTGAAGGTAAGCATGCAGGTGCAGCAGGTAGTAAAGAAGTCAAATGGTATGTTGGCCTTCATTATGAGAGGTTTCGCATACAAAAGCAGGGATGTGTTGTTGCAGTTGTACAGGGCCTTGGTGAGACCACACCTGGAATATTGTGTGCAGTTTTAGTCTCCTTTTCTGAGGAAGGATGTTCTTACACTCAAGGGAGTGCAGCGAAGGTTTACCAGGCTGATTCCGGGGATGGCAGATCTGATGTATGAGGAAAGATTGACTAGGTTGGGATTGTTTTCGTTAGAGTTCAGATGAATGAGGGGGGGATCTCATAGAGATGTATAAAATTCTAACAAGACTCGACAGGGTAGATGCAGGGGGGGATGTTCCCAATGGTAGGTGTGTCCAGAACCAGGAGTCACAGTTTGAGGATTTGGGGCAGACGATTAGAACAGAGATGAGGAGACATTTCTTCACCCAAAGCGTGGTGAGCCTGTGGAATTCATTACCACAGGAAGTAGTTGATGCCAAAACATTAAACGTATTCAAGAGGCGGCTAGATATAGCACTTGGGTCAAATGGGATCAAAGGTTATGGGCAGAAAGCAGGATTAGGCTATTTAGTTGGATGATCAACCATGATCTTGAAGAATGGCAGAGCAGACTCAGAAGGCCGAATGGCCTTCTCCTACTCCTATCTTCTACGTTTCTATGTTTAATGCTTGAGGATGTGTAACATCCACAATTATGTTAGGGGAGCAGTTTCAAGATTTTGACTCAGTGACAGTGCAGGAATGGCAACGAATCCAAGTCAGGACGGTAATCTGGAGATCAGTCTGGGTGATATTCCAATACATCTGTTAGGTCTTGTCCTTTTATGTAGTAGAGAGGTTACAATTGACTGGATGAGTGGATTAAATTAGTACCAATAAAACAGGCTTTAATCCCTGTTCTGGCCTTGTCAGATTCAGGACCTGCCTCTTTGGCCTACCCTTGCTGGAATTTGTGGCATTATAGACTGGACCTGCCTTTGGGTGGAGAACTCAAGATGATGAAGACTATGGGGAGCAATGAATCAGCTAAACACATTTTAGGCTTCTTTAAATTTTCACAAATGCATTCTCTCACATCCATACTGAAACTAAAGTAGAGACTGCTGCTGAACTCTATTCTAAAGAGTCATCACCAGACTAAAAAACATTAACTCTGTTCTCTCCTGTCCTCCCCTCTATTTCAGAATCTCTAGCATTTACAGTTCTTTGGTTTATTTTACTGTCCACAATGAAAGTTTATTTACTCACAGTGAACTTCAATTACCACTAATCAAACCAAATCATCTCTAATGCCCATTGAAAGATCTTAGCAACAATTCTGATTGCATTGTCTGTTTCTGTTTGGTATTATGAGAGAAGTTAACTATGCATAATTGAGATTGAAGGGGATTTAGAATACCCTGCAGTGATTTTCCACCTAATCAATCCTTTTTTTTTAACCTGACAACAATATTTTACTTTCTTCCCTTTGTCCAGATACTTATTCACATTCGTGCATTTTCCTTGATACCCACTTATCAAAACTGCTATAGGAGCATGTAAATCATTATAACAAAGACCTCTGAAGGTTAAGGTGAACTGTATCACATCACTTAGTGATTAATGTGGAATGTCATTTTCTCCAAAATACCCAACAAATCGAGCAGACAAAATTTATACGCTATAAACCCATTTGATAGTTGATTCTTTAAACCACTTTGCAAACTTAAATGTACTCCAACACAGCAATGTCATTTAAGCAAAAATGTATTAGATTTACAACAACAGAATGGTTAAGACAATTTCACAGCTTTATTGCCTATCACTTCTAGGCAACATCCAAGTTGAATATGGCAGTCAATTCTAGGAATAACAGCATGACTTACAAGATCACATACAAAACCAACACTTGTCAGAAATACTTCAGCGGAAATGTTTTTTCATAATATTCATGATACGTGGGTGTTGCAGGGAAAGACAGCATTCATTGCCCATCCCTAATGAATTGGCATAATTGGAATTTAATTCCTTTGCAGAATGCCAAATATCACATGGAATTGTTTTGCACTTTTCTGCACACATTCTTTTAACATCTGCAAAACATCTGGTAAAACTTTAATTGTCATATTTTGTATTGTAAACACATTAACATATTCCACTAACTAAAACAAAGTCATGCAATTTATAATTACCCTTCTATCAGATTTTTCCTGTTCTTTGGCTTTTTCCCTTTCTACTTCTTGATCTCTACTTTGGTCTTTCAAATGCTCACGCTCCTTGTCTCGCTGTCTTTTTTCTCTCACTTTTTCTCTATTTCTTTCCCTTTCTTTGCTTCGCTCTTTGTCCTTTTCTCCATCTCCTCTAATTTTGTCTTTTTCCATTTTTTCTCCTTCTCGGTTCTTGTCCTTTTCCACTTTTTCTCCATCCCCTCGATTCTTGTGGTTTTCCTCATCTCTCTCTTTCGTTCTTGCTCGGTCCTTTTCTTGATCCTTTACTTTTTCTCGTCTATCACCATCTTTGTGTCGGTCCCTTTCTTTGTCCATTGGTTTCCCATGTTCCTTTTCTTTTCGATCTCCGCTGGTGTGCTTAATTCCATTCTCATTCCTTTCCTTCAAAATAAGTTCGGAAAAAAAAGAAAGAGTTCATAACACAAAAGTGGTTGAAATATAATACATATTTACAAGAATGCAGGTTGAGAGAAATTTGACCCAACCACCAGTCCCCAGTTCAGATAAATGGGTATAGTTAGTGGCAGCAAGGGTATACAGCAGTGAATATGTCTGCCAAGTCCAAAATTACAGACGATATGAAGGAGTGATCAACCAAGATTGTGGAGGCCACATGTAACAAACATAGGAAAAATTGAAAGAAAGAAAGGAAGGTGGAAAAAATACCTTTCTAAAAATGTATTATTTCATGGCATGTAAATGTTGCTGACAAGGCCAGCATTTATTGCCCATCCCCAATTGTCCTTGGACTGAGTGGTTTGCTAAGCCATTTCAGAGGGCTATTAAGAGTCAAAACACATTGCTCTGTGTCTGAAGTCTTATCTAGGCTAGCAGACTTCTCTGCCAAGTGGACATCGTTAAAATACGTTATATTCTAGTGCATAACAATGTCCACACTTTTAGTGACAGCTTTATTTCCATTAATCACACCCTATAAAATACAGAATCCCCAGATTAGTCATTCCCCACATTTATGCAACCAATTCACAATGAATTAAACCTTAACTAATATATCTATCACCTGTTACCTCATTCCAATAGATCTCAAGCATTCTTTCAGAGCATTGACACTTCACGGGAGGCACACTGACGATGTTACCTAGCAGGGTAACGAAACATTTGCAATCAAACCCACCAGCTGGGCGAGCATGTCTACAAGCTCATTCTCAACCCAAGCTACAAATCTTCTCGAAAACTTTAAGTATATCCAACAGTTTCTTTAAACTCATTCCTTTCTTTGTAAAACAATCAAATAGCTGACTGCTGCAATCCACCCATTTCAATTTGGAAATTAAAGAAATAATTGTTAGGTTTAAATTAGAATTCTGCAAATTATCTTCAGCATTTAATTACAGGAAGGATATTAAGGGTATTGTGTTGCAATGGTAGTGCCCCCACCTCTAGTCTTGAAGGCCTGGATTCAAGCCCTATCTGCTCCAAAAGTGTGCTATAACACATCAGACAAGTTGATTTAAAATATCTATAGGAAGGATATTAAAACCATGAAAATGTTACAGCAGAAATTCAACTGAACTGCACATGGTCAGGAAGGAGAGATCACATTTGGAGTGAGCCGTGGCCAAAGTAAGTATATAATTGGAGTAATTTGGAGGTAGCATAGAAATTCGGGGAAAAGGTGCTTTCTTGGTTCATAGTTTAGTTTCTCCTGGGGAAAAAAAATCTTACAAAGTCCAGGATCAGCGGCCCAGCACAAAAGAAAGTGACATCACAGGAAAACTATAAGTTCATTGGTTGGCAATAGCTACTAATTTGACTATCAATAGATTACTTTCAGAGTGAAGGTAAATATTGGAGATATAAGGGTTACAATCTAAAAGACAAGTAGAAAATTTGAAAAATCAAATTAAGAACTAAGTATACAAAATAGAGACCCAGAACCAGGCAATGCGTTGCCTGCCTGGTACCCGGGTTCAAGATCTCTCATCTGGGCTGCAGAGGAACTTGCAGTGGGAGGAGAAAGATCCAGTTGTTGTGGTCCCTGTAGGTACCAGTGATATAGATAGAAAGAGGATCTAGGTTCTGCTGAGGGAATATGAGCAGCTAGGGGCTAAATAAAAAAAAGGGGTAATTGCTGAATTACTATCTGATCTGCTAATTGGCACAGGGTCAACAAGATTAACGTGTGGCTCAGAGATTGGTGTGGCACAAGTTCAAAATTATGGGTCCTTGGGACCAGTACTGGGGAAGGAAGGAGCTGCTCCGATGGGACAGGTTCCACCTGAATCATGCTAGGACCACAGTCCTGGAGAATCGCATAACCAAGGCTGTAAATGGACTTTAAACAAAATAGTTGGGGGAATAGCTGCATGGAAAATTTTGGAGAAAAGTCAAGGGGGGATGGGTCTGCAAAGGTTATTAAAATTTCAAAAACAAGTAATAGGACACAGTATGGAAAGACTCAGGAATCTAACTTCAAGCAAAGCAGATAAGGGGACAACTATGAGAATGGGGACAGTCAATACAGGACTGAGGGCATTGTACTTAAATGCATGCAGTATATGAAACAAAATAAATCAGCTTGAGGCACTGATTGAAATTGGTGGGTACAATATTGAGGGTATCAGAGAGGTGTGATTGCAAGGGAATGAGGACTGGGAATTAAATATCCAAGGATACATGTCCTATGGAAAAGACCAGCAGATGGGCACAGGACAGAGGGGATAGGGTCTGCATTGTTAGTAAGAAATGAAATTACAACAACAGCAAGAAGTGATATAGAGTTGGAAGGCACCAAATCAGTGTCGGTAGAGTTGAGAAACTGCGAAGGAAAAAAAAAACTCTCTGATGGGAGTTATCTATAGGTCTCTTAACAGTATTCAGGATGCAGGATGCAGAAAATAAATCAGGAGATAGAAAAGACATGTAAGAAAGGTACCATCACAATAAATATGGGGGACTTCAATATGCAGGTGGACTGTGAAAACCAGGTTGTTAGCGGATCTCAAAAAAAGGAATTTGTAGAATGAAAGGAATTCGTGGAACTTCTTAAGAGATGGATTTTTGGAGCAGCCTGTGGTACAGCCCACTAGGAACACTTGGAAGCGCATTGTAAAATAGGGCTGAATCAGCACAGATTCGTCAAGGAGTGGTCATGTCTGAAAATTCTGTCAGAATTCTTTGTGTAACGTATTATCTCCTCAAAGTAGAGCCAGTGGACATGATTTGTTTGGAATTCCAGAAGGCCTTTACAATGTGCCACACAGGAGGCTTCTAAATAAGAGCCCAAGGTATTAGGGGCAAGGTCAGACGAAAGAGAGTGGGGATAAAGGGTTTTTTTTTCAGGAATGCAGCCGGTGATTAGTGGAGTTCTGCAAAGGTTAGTGTTGGGGCCACAACCATTCACTTTATCCATTAATAATCTAGACAAAGGAACTGAGGGTATTATTCCTAAATTTGCAGATGACAAAAGATAGGTGGAGGAGCAAGTTGTGTTGAGAAACAGGGAGGCTACAGAAGGACATGGACAGGCTATGACAGTGGGCAAAGAAACGGCAGATTGAATAAAATGTGGGTACGTGTGAGGTTATGCACGTTGGTAGGAGGAATAGAGGGTAGATTATTTTCTAAATAGGGAAAAGGTTTGGAAATCTGAAGCACACAATGACTTAGGAGACCTTGTTCAGGATTCACAATTCTCTTAAGGTTAACGTGCAGGTTCAGTTGGCGGTTAAGAAGATAAAATGTGATGTTAGCATTAATTTTGAGAGGGCTGGAATGCACAAGTAGGAATGTACTGCTGAGGCTGTATATGGCTCTGGTAAAACTGCATTTGGAATACTGTATTAGAGAGAGTAGCAAGAACTGCAGATGCTGGAGTCAGAGATAACAAAGTGTGGAGCTGGAGGAACACAGCAGGCCAGGCAGCATCAGAGGAACAGGAAAGCTGACGTTTTGGGTTGGGACCCTGCTTCAGAAATGGGGAGGGGGAGAGGAGCTCAGAAATAAATGGAGAGAGAAGGGGTGGGGCTGAGGAAGATAGGTGGGATGGTGATAAGTGTACAGAGCGCGGATGCTCTACAGAACGGTCTCCAAGTCTCCACTTGGTCTCACCGATGTAGAGGAGGCCACATCGGGTGCAGCGGATGCAGTAGACTAAGTTGATGGACCGCTTTCTCCACGACTCCCTCGTCCACTCCACACTCCCCACTAATCCCACTACCCCCGGCACCTTTCCCTGCAACCGCAGGAAGTGCTACACCTGCCCCTACACCTCCCTCCTCACCTCCATTCATCCTACATCGGTGAGACCAAGCGGAGACTTGGAGACCGTTTTGTAGATCATCTGCACTCTGTATGCGACAAACAACATCACCACCCGGTTACGAAAAATTTTAACTCCCCCTCCCACTCCCTGGGTGACATGCCTCTTCTAATGTCACAACGACACCACCCGCAAACTGGAGGAGCAGCACCTCATATTCCGCCTCGGGAGCCTACAGATCAATGGTGTTGATTTTACCAGTTTCAAAATCTCCCTACCCCCAGCCTCATCCCATGACCAACCCTCCCTCTCATCCCTGCCTCCTTGACCTGACACAACTTGTCCATCTTCTATCCCACCTATCCGCCACTCCTAACTAACTGACCAATCCTGACCACTGCCTACATGCACTCACCTATCACCATCCCACCTACCTTCCCCAGTCCCATACCTCCTCTCTCTATTTATTTCTGAGCTCCCCTCCCCATCCCCACTTCTGAAGAAGGGTGCCGACCCGCAGCATCAGCTTTCTTGTTCCTCTGATGCTGCCTGGCCTGCTGTGTTCCTCCAGCTCCACACTTTGTTATCTTATTTTGGAATACTTTGAGCAGTTTTGGGCCCTGTAAGTAAGGATGTGCTAACTCTGGAGAGGATCCAGAGTAGATTTACAAGAATGATCCCAAAGATGAAGGGCTTTGTCACATGAAGAGCGATTGAGGGCTTTGGGTCTGTACTCAATGGAGTTTAGAAGGATGAGGGGGGGATCTCACTGAAACTCGCAGAGTACTGAGAGGTCTGGATAAGGTTGATATGGAGAAGATGTTTCCACTAGCAAAGATTAGGACTCGAAGGCAGAGCCTCAGAGTGAAGGGACAACCCTTTAGAACTGAAATGAGGAGAATTACTTCAGCAAGAGGGTGGTGATTCTGTGGAACTCATTACCACAGTGGGCTGTGGAGGCTCAGTCATGTTCTGAGGAGAAGGCAGGAGAATGTCGTTGAGAAACATAGCAGCCATGATTGAATGGTGGAGCAGACTCAATCAGCCTAAATCTGCTCCTTTTTCTTATGATCTTAATACAAGGAATAAATTGCTAATAATGATGGATCATTTCACTGTTTGCACAATTGACAATATGGGATGAAGAATGAAGTTAAGAATGTAAGACAAAGTTTAAAAAAGACTTTTTATCTCTGGAGGTTGTAGCTTTGAGGCAGAAATTTTAAATTGGAAAGGAAACTACACAAGCTTTTGAACAATGATAAAATGAAAATAGGGAATAGGCACAAAAATGGGGTTAAAGTAGATAGCTTTATTGGGCAAGACAAGGTGAATATGGGCATGGTGGCCCAAATCATCTCTTTCTCTGCAGCACATTTTGTGATTTTCAGTTAATATGCACTCTCTGTGTGGAAATCCCTTATTTTTTACAAGATTACTGACAGAGAAGTGGAGATGGGAAGAACTCCAATCCATTACTTATATTCTTCTTCGTAAATCATTGTTCATATCTTCCAAGATATCATAATAAAATCCTTAATCTATCAAGCAGCATTGAAGGCACAGTGAACACTGAGTTGAGCAAAAGAACAAGTAGCATGGTTGATTGGAAATATCCTGTGGGAGATTAAATAAAATGCATTATTCACAGAGAACTGTGAAGCAGAAGGCAAGCAAAAGCAAACTTAGGATATAAAGGTCAGTTTAAACATCAAGGTGTTAAAAAAAGACAAAACTAGTAACACTTCGAATGATTCAGAATACATGCAAAAACAAGTTTGCATTAAAAAAGCATGATTTTTGCTCTGTTTTAGGCCTAGTGAAATCAAAGTATCCAAAATCAATTTCACTTTTGGCTCAAATAGATAAGATACACAAATAATAGCTGTTTTATAAAGTAGGTATTAGGTTAAATTATTAACAATCTGGAATCAAAAATTTAATTAATGTTGTATATTGTCTGTGGGCTATTGTGAAATGCTGCACATTGAACAGGTTACCTCTTGTTCTTTGTCCTTCTGCCTCTTTCGCTCATCATCTTTTTTCTCTCTGTTTTCTTTGCCCTGTGACTTGGAACTGGGCAGTCCTTTTGATTTAAGATCTACCTTTTCACCAGCAAGGACCTTCCTCACAGAATCATCACTGGACAGCTGGAGAACAAAAAACTAAATGAATCAATATTTCTCTCAACTCTGCTTGTCTATGCAAAACTCAAGGTCAGTGATGTACTGTGGACAATATTCTAAAAATTTACAAGCTTGGAGAGGAAATATTTCTTGATGCTACTGTGTTTATGTTCCATTGGAAATATATGTCCAACTTATTTTGCCAGCATGTTGTCTCTGCCCACTAAAGCAGTGGTACAAGCAAGGTCACAGGTGTTGAACATAAATGGCATCTTGCAAAAGTGTTATTTCACAAAAAATTCCAATAACAAACTGGAGCAATTACATCAAATGTGACACTATTAATTCTTTAAGAAACTGCCAAGATGTAGTAGGCAAATTGAGAACTAAAAACGAAAAGTGCAGGAAATAATCAGCAGATCTAGCAGCATCCATAGATAGAGAAACCAACTTAATCCCTTGGTCCACTGTGGCCCACTTTTTTCCCCCACACAGTCTTCCCCTCTTCACCTCATCAGTTATGCTACCAATCTCTTTGGCACCTATCTCATGGAATCATATGGCAGGAGAGGTGCAAATGTTCACTGCTGCCAGGACTTTGCAATCTTCACACTGCAGGCACCAAATGTGAAGTCCACCTTCAGAGCATTTCAGAAGCTGCAAGTCAGGAGCTGCAATTTACAACTAGGTCCTGCATAGTTATCTCCAAAGAAGTGGCTGAGAAAGGCAAGTTAGCTTATTTCACGAAAAGGGACCTGGAGGTAGTAGAAAGGAGGGCAGAGTGTTTCCCTGCAGTCTGGAAAAGGAGGCCACATTACCGCATGTGTTATGTCTGTTTCACCAGTTCTCATGCACCTGATCTTTCCAGACTGAATTACGTAAATGTTACAATATAGGAGATTATCTGGCCCATCGTGCCTGCTCTGGCTCAATGAATGAGCATCATTATCTAGTACCAATCTCCTCCTCTTTCCTCATAATCTTGCACATTAATTTCTTTTCAAATAATCATCAAATGCCCTCTTGAATGCCTCAACCAAATCTACCTCCACCATACTACCAGGCAGTGCATCCCATGCCCTAACTATCTGCTGAGTGAAAAAGATTTTCCTCACTTCACTTATTTCTTTTGCAGATCACTTTAAATCTATTGTCCTCTTATTCTTGCTCCTTTTAAGAAAGGGAAAAGTTTCTCCTTACCAACGCTATCCAGCCCACCCATGATTTTGAAAACCTCTGTCAGATCTTGTCTTAGCCACCTTCTCACCAAGATGAACAGTCCCAACTTCAATGTATCCTCATAAATGAAGATCCTCATCTCTGCCACCACTCTTGTAAATCGCTTTTGTACACTCTCCAATGTGTTCACATCCTCCCTATAATGTACACAATACTCCAGCTGAGATCTAAAATATGTCTTATGCAAGTAGACATCACCTCCTTGCTTTTGTACTCTCTACCCTTATTAATAAAGCTGAGGACACTGTATTCTGCTTTACTTAATGCTATCTCTACCTGTCCTGCCACCTTCAATGATCTGTGCACATTTACATCCAGGTCCCTCTGCTCTTACAGTCCGCTTAGAATTGTACCATTTTATATTGTCTTTCAATATTCTTCCTCACAAAATGCATCATCTCACACTTCTCTGCATACGCATCTGCCACTTATCTGCACACCCTACCAACTTGATTTTGTCCTTCTGGAGTTCTACCCTGTTCTCCTAACAAACAAACACAGATACTCCTCATGTCTTGCAGAATATCTAAAATATGGGAACATACCTATCCAATTTTTGGTTCTTTCACATACTCAGGCTGTATCCTCCGACAGATAATTTACCTTAGTAAGACAACATTTTGCAATAGTTTGCAAGAGTTCATTTGTTTTCTCAGGTTCATGACCAGCCACAACACGTGCAGGTTTCACAGACAAAGAATCACCAGAAACCATCATCACGACATCAATAGCCTTCTGCAAGAATGCAATTTTAGCATCTTTATCCTGACAAGAAAACAAAGGAAAATAAATTAGTTAGCAATCTAAAATCACAACTTCCAATTTATATTATCTGTACCCAGAAAATGCAAAGAACTATTTTGCATTTATATAGTGCCTTTAACTGCATGTAGAATTTCACACTGACAACAATTTTCATACAGCAATTGAAATAAAACAACCATCTTTTTTGGTGGCATTAGTGAGAGATAATGAAAGGCAGGACATAATGAAAACCACTTCTTTACATATTGTGATTTTTTTTTTGAACATCTTTAAAACAAGGTGATTAAACTCAATGCAATGTATTGTGCAAAAGAACTCCTCTAATTAAGCGTACTTTTTCATTACAGCACTGAAATATCAGCCTAAATTATGTACTCAACGCCTTGTGCACAATCTATTCTGAGTCATGGTGTCACCAAGTTAAGTTTGCAATAATACTTTTGAATATATGTAATTTTTAACTCAAAACTTAACTGAAGGACCAAAACCAAACCTTAACTCCAGATTTAAACAGGGTTTACAAAAAGAAGGAGAATCAAAATTACATAACGTAAAGGGGGAACAACAGAAGAAGAAACATTTTAAAATAAGTGTGATTTCAAGACCAATAATGTGAAACAGCACAAATGTACATAGGTTAGGATAACAGGAGCTCTGAAGGAATAAAGGAGGAAAGATCTGAGGGACAACAACCACAAAATGCAAGCCAGAAGAACTGAAATTACGAGCTGTATTTTACGCTTGGACATGGTATTAACCATTACTGTAACAAAGCAGAAATATGAGACATGCCCACTGTTTGAGAAGGTTCTAGTTCTTTCAGTTCCCACAGGCGGAGGAGAATTTGAGCCACTTTGGAAAACTGCTAAAAATAGAAATTAATTTCCCATTTTTTGACTAAAATGTGCAAAGTAAATGTTGTTTCCAAATCATAAATTGAGCAATTAGCTTTTCCAATATTGTCAGAGCCATATCATCGTCTACTATAATTGAGAAATAATGGCTTTCTCACTATAAATAAAAAACACTCACCACTTAAGTGAAAGAAGTTGACCCTGTAATGGATGCAACCATTCATTTGTTCAGTTCTATCCTAGCTACACTTTGTTTGAAATCATTACACTGTTCCTATATAATGAGACACTCAATCTGGAATGATTAGCTCAATTGACTTAATAGATGGTGTACATTTCAGAATAATACCAAGAGTGTAGGGTTTAATTCCCATTTTGGCTGAGGCCCACTTCCTCACTGTTTCATACTAAAATCACAATGCAAGCCATAGTTAAGTGGCCCTCGAATCAGAAAGAATACTCTCTGGAAAAGATGATCATGGTTAAGCTGATTATAACCAAAAATCCACATTGCCACCTATTCTCAAAACCATTCATCTTTCTTAACAAGAATCTATCCACCTCTGCCTTTAAAAATATTCAAAGACTCTGCTTCCACACATTTTCTGAGAGTTCCAAAGACTCACAACACTCAGAAAAGAGCTTCACCTCATCTCCATTTTAAATGGTCCAACTACTTTTAAACAGTAACCTCTAGTTCTAGATGGGAAACATCCTCTCCACATCTACCCTGTCAAGACTCATGAGGACCTTGTATATTTCAATTAAGGCACATCTTATTCTTCTAAACTCCACCAGATACAACATTCCCTGTCCAACCTTTCCTCAAAGGACAACCCGTCCATTCCAGGTATTAGTCTGGCAAAATTTCTCTAAGCTGCTGTTTATTCGAAAAGAGATTAGTTTTTTATGCAATGTTCTGGATTCTGTGGGACAAAGAGTATCCTTTGTTCATCACAGACCTGTTATGAATATATTCTGAATATCAGGACTAACCAACCTCCTCCTCACTGTTTTATGTATGAACAAGCACACATACATTTGGATTCACATTCTCCTAACTGCAAGCTACTTGTGGATGTGCATCTTTTGCCAGCAGGTAGTGTAGACACGTGTAGGACATATGGCCCTTTGAGCCTCTTTCATTAGTCAAATGGATCATGTCTAACTTACAACTCAATTCCTTTTACCTATTTGGTTCTATATCCCTTGATAGCTCAAGCCAATAAAAATATACAGAATTGTACTATTTTGTTATTTTAACAAGCTAATATATGCCACTCATCAATTATTTTTCAACTTAAGAAAATATAAACCAAGTTAATTTTGCCTGTCCTCAAAGATTTAACCTCTATGCCCAAGCATCATTATTATGCATTGTTCCCCTGTCAAGCCAAATATATATCCTACGCATTGTGGAAGCCCCAAACTGAACTCCAGATGAGATATACAAAACTGAAGTTAGACTTGTGACAAAGCCAACATTCCATTAGGTTTTCTGATGCCTTTATCCATTCACAGGATGAGAGCATCTCTGGCCAGGCAGCATTTATTGCCCATCCCTAATTGCCCAGAGTGCAGTTAAGAGTCAACCACATTGCTATGGGTCTGGAGTCACATGCAGATGGAACCAGATAAGGATGGTAGTTTCCTTTCCTAAAGGACATTATTGAACCAGATGGGTTTTTTTTCCGACAATCAGCATGGATTTATGGTCGTTATTAGACTCTTATTTCCAGATATTCTATTGAATTCAAATTCCACCACCTGCCACGATGGGATTCAAACACAGGTCCCCAGGATGTTATCTGGGTCTATGGATTAACAGTCCAGTAACAATACCACTAGGCCATTGCCTCCCCATGGTTTTCTGATTCTTTTATGTACTTATCTAATTTGCGCATGGATTCCAAAATCCTTTTGTTCCTTCAGTTCTTAACTTCTTGTTGTTTAGAAAATATGATTTACTGTTCTTTGTTCCAAAGGAACTTATCCACAATAAACTCCCACTCAACCTGCCTTAAATGCCTTTGAAACCTCCTGCTCGTATCCCTCTCCTAATTTGGTGCTATCTGTCAACTGGATATTCAATTCTTTATTGCTTCAAAGTCATTAATAACACTGGTGAAAAGTTGTGTCCCTGGTACGGATTCTGAGGGAAACCTCTTTCCCTCATCCTGCCAACTGGAGGACATGTCCTTCATCGATACACTGTCTGCTAAATCTCAAATAATTTCCAAATTATTGTAAAAGGTTATCTCCAATTCAATGTGTTCTAATTTTTCAAATCATCTTGTGTTTAGAACCACAAATGAGAAGATCAGGTTTACAACGTTATAGACTTACATCCTGTCCACATGGCTTTCCACTGGAAATGCAATATTTGTCAATTCTCTCTCATGTCAATTATACTGCACTGGGGACAGTCTAGAGTGGCATGGTGGCATAGTGGTTAGCACTGCTGCCTCACAGCCCCAGAGACTTGAATTTGATTCAAGCCTTCGGTGACTGTCTTATGTGGAATTTGCACGTTCGCCCCGCATCAGCACGGGTTTCCTCTGGGCGATCCGGTTTCCTCCTACAGCCCAAAGGTATGCAGGCCATGCTAAATTACCCCGTAGTGTCCAAGGATGTGCAGGCTAAGTGAATTAGGCATGGTAACTGTGGAGTTACAGGGATAGAGTGGGTGTAGGTGGGATGCTCTTCAGAGGGTCGATGCAGACTTGATCAGCCAACTGGCCTCCTTCTGCACTGTTGGGATTCTGAAATGCTGTGATTTATTTAAAATAATTTTATCTAAACAGCCTAGCATATAAACTCTGTGCATGCAATCACTTTTCACATACCTTAACATTATCAGATTTCAACTCAAACTCTGTATACAGTCCTTTCAAAAATCCAGTGGTCCTTATCACCTGTAAATAGAAAAGAACAGTAACCTGAACACATTTATTCAATTATCAATGATTCATTCTCTTAAGACACCAGCCCCTTCACCTTTTAAAACTGCTGCCATTACTCCATCTTCAATAGTCCCATTCTCAGCTATTACAAACATGCTGTTATATGATTTTGTAAAGAAAGTTAACCTGTTGTTATGATAGACACAAGAAGTCACACAAAATACCGAATCCCAAAGCCACACGACTTCTCTTGTGTATTCAATTGCAGCCAAAATCAGACAGACAATCAGACTGTGTTACCTTAAGAGCAAATCACAAAATGTCATTAAATAATTCAAGGTTTCCAGGATTGTCCATTGAACCCTCAACAGGTGTCAAGACTCAAACATTTTTTCCGCAGTGATGAACTGGAGATAAGAAGATCGTGACAAGAAATTCTAACATAAATGACTTTGTTTTGTGGAAAACTTATTCATCAAAATTAACCATTGCAGGCATTTTGTCTGGCTGTGATAAAGCTGGCAAGAGACAGTCATCTTGAGGAGAGCCAGCTAACCACTTTGAGAGAGACACTGCAAAACTGCAACTACTTCTCAACATGGAGACTGGAGGCGGCTTCCAGGACTATTTTAATGACTGTAACAAGGTCAGTCAGGTGGACCTAATAGAATGAGTTCCCTGATTGGGACTGTTAATCTGATCCAATCAGGGAGCCCTGGCTGACAGGTACCAACAGGAGTGTCAAACATCTTCTTTACTCAGAGCTGGCTTGGATGGAGCTGGATCAGTGTCAGGGACTCTCCACGTGTAAGTAAAAGGTAACTTGCTGATGGGATATCAGCCTCTGTGGAGTTTTTTCAATCATGATGAAAGAAAAGCACATTCCTGAAGAAATTCGCTCGCAATAGTCATCTTTGAGTTGGGATAAGTATTTCTGGCATCTTGCCGTTATTTGGGAAGCTTGATTTGAATGATCTGCCATTAGAGACTAGGCCCAGTATATGGAAAGAATGTGTCTTTTTTTCGGACAAATGACATTGGGGCAGATGAAAAGCAACAAATAATTCTCCTGATAGCTTGTGGACCTGCAGCTTTTTCAGTTACTAGGAGCCTAACTTTCCCTGAGGCACCAGATACTAAAACCTTTCAACAGTTGGCAGATTTAGTTAAGAAATATTATGACTCCAAGCTGCCTCTAATTCTGAGATGTTATTGCTTTTACTTGGCATTTCAAGAACCAGGGGAATCCACATTAGGATTTCTGATTAGGTTAAGATGACTGGCAGAGGCATGTGACTTCAGTTTAACCCTTAATGAGATGCTAAGAGATCATATAGTATGTGGGATTAATGACGTAACCATGCAAAAGTGTCTATTAGCTGAAGCCCAACTGAACTTCGAACAGGCTCTACAACTGGCTTTATCATTGGAAATGCAGCAAGTGGAGCATTTGTGTGTCAGTGTGTTCCAATGGAAGTGGACATTCACACCAGTCAGACTGAGCTTGGGGAATACTACTTGAGTGAAGGCAATTGCATAGCCTCATTTAGGACATATCCTGAACAGAGGGGCCCTAGGTCAGTCCACAGCAAAATCCAAAACAAAGCCAAGCCTCAGCCAAATGGGTTAAAATTTTCTTTAGGATCCAGGCTGGAAAGCCATTGTAGTTGCTGCCGGTATGCGAACTCAAGATTGCAAAAGAGTCCTACTCAACCTAAGTTGAGTAAGAGAACTCATATGCCGGTATCCAGTAGAGTGCACGCACTGGGAAGTCCACCTACATTTGGTTCGGATCAGTTAAATTGCTAGCAACATCAAAATCAGAACCAAAATAAACATCTGGTTAAACGATCACCCGGTTCTAATAGAGGTCAACACTGGCATGGCCATTTCAGTGATTGCAGAACCAGTCTTTAACAAAATTCGCTCTGGACTCCAACCTTTATGTTTGCGCGAGACCTCATCTAGACTGAGAACCTATACCGAGGTACCTTTACAGATTAAGAGTATGACTTTGGTTCCAGTCTCTTATGAGAAGCAGCTGGTTCAGTTATCACAATTGTAGTAAAAAGCTTGGGCCCAAGATTGATGGTGCAAAATTGGTTGAGAAAGATTCACCAGGATTGGCTCAACATTTTTCAATTAGAAAATGTTTGCCTGAGTGAAGTCCTAATTAAATACCTGGACATTTGTGAGGAGGTCTAGGGACTATCAAAGGAGCCAAGACCACCTTGCATTTTGACCAGAAAACAAGTCAACGGTTCTGCAAAGCCCGCCCAGTGCCATTTGCCTTACAGGCAAAAGTAGAGGTAGAAATCAGAAGGCTGGAAAGCAAAGGAATCATCAAACCAGTGCAGATTGCAGAATGGGCAGCACTGGTCAGACCAATTGTGAAGACCAATGGGTCGATTCGCCTTTGTGGAGATTTTAAACAAACAGTATGCCACTTTTCGCAGCTGGATAAATACCCAATTCCCCGCATACAGGATTTATACGCGAAGCTGGCAAGGAGAGTGCCCTTCACAAAGCTGAACATGAGCTATGCTTACTTCAAATTATGGTTAGACGAGGATTCTCAGAAGTATGCTACAATTATGATGCATACCAACATACAAGACTGCCGTTTGGGGTATTGTCCTGTGAAATCTTTCAACAGGCGATGGAGAACATTTTACAAGGTCTACCCGAGGTTGCTGTTTATCTTGATGACATGCTAATAACAGGGAAGACCAATAAAGCGCACCTGGAGAACATGGACATAGTCCTTAGGCATTTCAGTCAGGTGGGTATACACCTTTGAAGGGAAAAATGTGTGTACTAGACACCCCAAGTGACCTACTTGGGCTACAGAGTCAACAAGACCGGGTTACACCCACTGAAAGATAAAGTGAGGGTGATCAAAGGTGCCCCAGCTCCCACGTCTGTACCAGAGCTGAGGTCTTTCCTTGGGCTGATGAATTATTATGGAAAATTCATACATACCCTGGCCTCCATCCTGGAACCTTTGCATCAACTCTTAAAGGGTCAACCTTGGAAATGGTTGCATAGCCAAGCCATAGCTTTCAGGGAAGTAAAGGAACAGCTAACATCCTCTACGATGCTAGCACACTATTATCCCAAGCGAGAGCTGGTATAGACATGTGATGTCTCCCCATTTGGCATAGGTGTAGTATTAGCTCATAGGTGACCCAATGGAGAGGAACGCCCAATAGTATATGCATTCAGCACTTTGGCTAATGCAGAACATAAACAAGCCCAGATACAGAAGGAAGGTTTGGCGATCATATTTGGAGTCAGGATGTTCCACTAATACATTTACGGATGTAAATTTATTATAATAACAAACCACAAACCCTTGCTAGGTTCACTTAAAGAGGACAAGGCAGTGCTGCCCATAGCTTCAGGCTAAATTCAGCAGTAGGCTCTAATACTAAGTGTGCATAATTACAAGTTGAAAAACCATCTGGGGGGCCATGTAGCAGATGCAAATACATTGAGCTGCATCCCACTGGCAGATACATCACTAGTGGTACTTCCAGTGGAAGAGTCCGTAATGGTTTTAAATTTCCTGGACATATTTCCAGTCACAGCTGACAATATCAGACTTCAGACACAGAAAGATCTGGTCCTAGCAAAACTGAAACAGCTGATGATGATGAGGGATACCAAAAGGCCGTCACAACCAGAATTGAAACTTTTCAGGACCTAGAGAGACCAGATCACAGTAGAGGATGGCATATTATTATGGGGAGCAAGAGTGATTGTCTTGAGCAAAGGTCACCACCAGATTCTGGCTGAACTCCAGCAGGGCCATCCAGGGGTTTCCAAAATAAAGATGTTAGCAAGAAGTTATGCCAAGACCGAAGCAGACATAGCCACATTGGCGGGACAGTACCCAGAGTGCCAGCATCTACCCCACATTCATGGGAATTGCTAGGTAAACCCTGGACTCAACTACACATCAATTATGCAGGTCCTTTCGTGGGTTCAATGTTCTTAGTCATTATGGATGCCCACTCAAAGTGGCTGGACATCCATAGATAACAAGGTGTAGAGCTGGATGAACACAGCAGGCCAAGCAGCATCAGAGGAGCA